AAAAATAACGCATAAAGTGATAAGATATGTAGGATTAATTTATAAAAAAATCCTTTAATTCTTAAAAAAATTGCATTAAACAGAGTGCATTATAGGATTGCGCATTCTAGAACTGTCCCTCCTGGGTATGACGATAAACTACATCCGGCAGCAAGGCCTCTGATCGGGAGGTTTTGATGAGTGTGGAACCACCTCTTAATTGCTGTTCTTCCCAGATCCAATCTGACCCGGGGTGGTAACACATGTTGGTGGTAGCTATGGGAAATAATGAACCCCCAAACTGGTGTCAAAACATGAAAAAATAAAAATATATTAGAAAAAATTTGTTTCAAAGTAAAAAAAAAATATGTTTTCATAGTAAAAACACACACACACACACACACACACACACACACACACACACACAAAATTACCAGCAATACATTTTGGAAAAAAAAAAAAATAACGAAGCTCACAAGAAAATACAATTTCGGCATTAAATGATTGAACAAACAAACAAATCAAACAGATTAGAACACCTGTTAGTAAGGTGCAGGTAAATAAACGTAATACATATGTAATGACAAAAGTACTCAGGTGTAGGCTTTAAGAAACCTTTATTCAACTGAGAATACAAGGTTCGCGTATAGTGACCTTTTATAGTCCCAATAAACAGAAATAGCTTTCTCAAAGAGGAGAGTAACAAAACAAGGGGAGACCACTCTTGATTATTCATAACAGCACACTGTTTAATAATTAAAAATGGGGCGTCCTTTTCAAATACAAAGTGTCCACTATAATAACGTGTGAAGTAATATAAATGCTGGATTAAAAATATATCCATTTAATTTTTAGGAATATGTATGTATGTATGTATATGTTAATGTTATTGATAGGGTTTCTATGTGTTTTTAAAATTTATTTCATAGTTTAAGATGCTTTGACATTTTTATCAAAATTAAAACCAATGAGAAACAATCCAAACAAATTGAAAGTGAAGTCGATTATATAATAAAAAAATAAAAAAAACCTCATAAATATACAAAAAATGAATGAAGAAACAGCTGAAAAATCTCTACAGTGGGGAAAATATATCGATCGTATTTGGTTTATCAATTATTTCAGCCACAGACTGGGTGAAAAACAAAAAGAATTTCTCGCCTTAAAACCTAATTTCTGGATCTCTGCAAAAAAATAAAAATGAAAATAAAAATAAAAAAATACAAAAAATAAATAAAAAAAACAACAAAAGCTAAAACGGTACAGATTTTTAAAAAAAATGTAACTTGACCTACCGTAGCAGAAAATTTCAAAGATTACAAACAACCATATACAAGAGATTCTAGCAAACCGGACGATCAAACGAGGGAAAGCATAAAGAACCTATAGAATTACCAAAAGCAAAACAAAACATTAACCAAAACATTAATAAATGCAGCAATGAGAACCGATTCACACCAATATTTTTACAATCCGACTCGACGTTAAAAATAATACTTTCATTATACGAAACAAAAAAGACTGCGGATCAAGACATATTAGTCAGTCAGTTATGTGCCATGCATGGTACACGCTTAGGCGATCATGTATCTTTCGATACATGACTGACGAGGCAGATTTTTTTCCAGAAGTAGGTTGCCATTTCTTTCTGCGATAGACCAGTTGCCATCCAAGTCTATAGAACCCGGTCTGTCCTGCTATTTACCCATAGCTGGCGAAGGGAGAAGAAGATTTTTAAAAGAATATTTTTTGCAAGAATATATATATATATTTTTAAAAAAATATTCTTTCAAAAATTCTGAAACTACCAGCGTCTCTCGTTTCTTGCGCATGTGTAGACGTGACAGCGTCCACCAAGCCCAGTCCGCTGAAATTCTAATGGATGAAACCCGTCACAAAAACTTTTTTTCCAATTTGTCATAATATCTTACTAAATACTGTTTGTTGATATATAAAAATTATACAACATTATATATCGTTACATCATATATACCTTATATATATATATATATATATATATATATATATATATATATATATATATATATATATATATATATTTTTATATATATTCTATACATATATTTTATATATATGTTTTATATCTATACATTATATATTTTCAAATTTAACAGAGTCGAAAATGCTCAGATAATACTTGATAATTCGACGTATGAGGGCCAAGCAGATCAGTTCCTAGGAACATGAGATTTGATTATAGTGGTAAAGGTTTTGTGCAGAACCATCCACCCATTTTGAAGGGCCGAATACAGAGAGCTGGTGCACTACTTGCCACAGGGTCCCCAAATGATCCTCCGCGGGTTTTGAATTCAGAGTTGTCCTTCTCCTAGACCAGTTGCCATCCAAGGCTATAGAACCCAGTCTGTCCTGCTATTTACCCATAGCTGGAGGGAGAAGTAGAGGAATCACACCTTTCCCAAGGGTATTAGCACGTAAATGAATGTAATGGATTCGACTGGAATTCGAACTCTGCTCTCCGATTCCTCAATCCGAGCCGCTATTCATATTTTTCCGGTATGTGTTATTAGTATACTCCTTCGGGAGTTACTTTTGTGTTTTATTTACTTTAACACACACACACACACACACACACACACACACACACACACACACACACACACATATATATATATATATATATATATATATGAATAAAGATATAAAGTAATGATAAAAATATTAAAAACGATTAAATTAAAAACTCTCCATTATTTAAAATAAATAGATGATAAATATTTTACCAAATTAAAAAAAAAATACTACATAATAACATCATAAACGAAAAAAATATCAACAACAACAGTAATAACAGCATTTACTCATTCTTGTTTTTCCAGCATTAAATTGCATCTCTTAGCATCTTCCATAAAAAAAAACCCTGAAAACCAAACGATTTTTTTACTTCTATTTATAATTGTTGAAATCTCTCTATCTATCTATTTATCTCTCTCTCTCTCTCTCTATATATATATATATATATATATATATATATATATATATATATATATAGTGTAACCCGGATATAAGAGAGTTGTCGGGACCGGAGAAGAAGTCTCTTATATCCGGGTTTCTCTTATATCCGGGTTTGGTCGATTTTGTTTAGGTAAGTTTAGGCTTTAATTTGGGACCAGAGAAAATCTCTCTTATATCCGGGTTTCTCTTATATCCGGGTTATACTGTATATATATATATATATATATATATATATATATATATATATAGAGAGAGAGAGAGAGAGAGATATTGTGTATTTGGGCAGCAATTCCTCTTTTATACAAGTTTAATTCAAGACGATTGAAAATTAAGCTTTTTATTTAATTTTTCTTGTGTTCAAACAAATATTTTCTATTCTGGACACAAAGTGTGTAAAAACTGTTCCAAAATACTGCATATTTGAACGCTTTCGGCTATTCTCTTAGCCATTATCAAGGACGATTTTCACTTTTATTTTTAACTGAATGTGTGGGTGTGTTACGTATGTATTTGAAGCCATGGGAATATTTTCATCAGCACGTTGTGGCCGTGTTCGTAGTTAATGCTATTGAGTGTTGGTTTTTTTTTTATTAATTTATACATATATATATATATATATATATATATATATATATATATATATATATATATATATATATATATATATTGATGCATGTTTCATTAAATAATATAGACAAGTTGTGTCTATTTATTTTAAGTAAGTTCCTTTCATATTGTCTGATAAGCTTAATAACATTATCATTGGAAGACGAAAGGAAATTACCATATTGATACATGTTTTAATCCTATCTTAGCTTTCGGCTTACATAAGCCATTATCAAAGATGAAAATTACATTTCAATATATCAAACAATACACGGACGAAACAATAATGATAGTCTGTTTTTGTTGTATGAAAAATTTCAAAGCAACGACAAATTCGTGTATACGAGACGCGGAAGCGAAAATCACATCGCAGCTCGTGACGTCACACTTGACCACGCGAGAGTGAAAACGAGAAGTATTAAGTATGGGGATCCGTTGTTATAAACCAATGGCTTCAGTTATCAATTATAGGCATTTAAGAATATTTGTCGAGATTTCGTAGTTCAGGTTAGGTTTCAACAGTTTATGTATATAGCTTCGCATACACGCACGCACGCACGTACACACACACACACACACACACACACACACACACATATATATATATATATATATATATATATATATATATATATATATATATTTGGACAGTAATTCCTCTTTTATACAAGTTTAATTAAAGACAACTGACAATGTAATCATGAAATAAAAATGGTGCGTCTTTATTAAGGCCGAAGTCTCCACTGCAATTGAAGTAATAACACACACACACACACACACACACACACACACACACACACACACACACATATATATATATATATATATATATATATATATATATATATATATTTCTGAGATGAGGTATTGCAACTATATACACAATTTACATTGCTCGGACTGTTATTCTCATCTTTATTTTCATATTCACGATGATTCGGTCGATGTACGCTCTGACCTTCTTCAGGTCATATACGTTGGAATTTCTAACTGAACCCTTTATTTAGTCCACGGGCGTAGATTGCTATAATTCCACGTGTCATGCCTTTTTTTTTTTTTTTTTTTTTAGATATTTTCAATTAATTCTCTTTAACAACTCAACTCTCCAAGTTTTTACTGAAGCGACGTTTTTATTCCCGCGTTCGTGGAATAATCAATTTGGAGAATTTAGTTTGTAAAGGGAATTAACTGAATTAACTGCCAGAAAATACATTTAGATTGCAAGAATTTTCTTTTAGAAAAAAAAAAAAGTTTTTTAGTGATATAAGACATGCTAATTAAGTGGGGGAAAGTGTTGAATTCATACCTTTCCCAAGGATATTTATTTGTAAGTGAATAAAACGAACCCAACTGGAACTGGAACCCGGCACCCCGATTAACAATTCCAAGCCATTATCCATATTCCCACCCGCACATCCATGCTTACAGCACCTGGTATTCCCAAGCGGTTACCCATCTAGGTACTCAACAAGCCCGACGTTGCTTAACTTCGGTGATCGTACGGGATATGATAATTTTGTGAGGTTAATTTATTAATTTAATTTGTGCCAAACCTTCCCTACGTCACAGCACTCAGTGGTTTTACGACTTTACATGAAAAAATGCGCTATACATTTTTTTCTAAATGAGATCTTAGTGATTAAAAATAATTGCGTCCTTGCACCATTTCTAAAATTTTTATTAAATTTACAATTTTGTCTCTACTTTCTCTGATGATGACTTAAGAAAGTCGAAAGCTCAGACCATATTACTTTTGTTTTTCTTCCGAAATAACAATTCTTGGCAGAATTTTCTTCTTATTTGAGGATTATCTGGAATTTGGAAAAGACGATCATTAAAATTAATCGACATAAAATGTCCATAGTTTTCAACAACATTTGCATTAAAGAACATTTGCTGCCTAAATGCACAGAATATATATATATATATATATATATATATATATATATATATATATATATATATATATATATATATATATATTAAAAAAAGAAAGAACAGTACGATATATAATCCGGTGTTCTTATTGATATTTTTATTTTTACAAAACAGTGCTCAATGAAAATTTACATAGCATAAATATTATAAATTAACTGATTTAAAATACGGTTTCTTCGCTACACAGTAATAACCATGTTTAAAAAACCGAAGCTAAAAACTTCAAATTTAATTATATAATTAAATTAAAGCAATTAGTTCTGTTTTCATCTTCAAGCGAATTTTGGAATAACTTATTTTTAAGTTATTCTAAAATTCGCTTGAAGATGAAACAAAAATAACTTATTTTTAAATTATTCAAAATTCGCTTGAAGCGAATTTATAATATATATATATATATATATATATATATATATATATATATATATATATATATATTATTGGATTGCCAATTATCGCATGCTGTTACACGATTTGAACAATTTTTCTGTTAAACCCAGTATATATATATATATATATATATATATATATATATATATATATACACACATACATAAATACACATATACACACACATACACACACACACACACACACATATATATATATATATATATACACGCACACACATATATATATATACTGGGTGTAAGAGCAAAATTGTCCAAATCGTGTAACAGTATGCGTTAATTGTCCATCCCACAAAATGTTTAATATCTAAAAAAACAATAAACTAATTGAGTTTCATTTCTACAGGTTTTCAGATAAGACGTTTAGCCATCTGGACACCATTTTTCATAAGAATCACTGAAAAATTCTTTGAGTTATTCAGCTAGAACAGTATTGTGCCAGTCTCACCATGTCTTCCCAACTGAGCAATGGTGAGAGGAAAATGAACATTTAGGCCTTCGGTAATGGTACCAACATTCATACTCTAGCTTCCATCTTCAAAGTCCATTCAAGAACCATCAAGAGAACGATGAATGAGTTTAAAAATAGAGAACAGTAGAGAGGAAAACTGGATCAGGAGGTCACAACAGAAAGAGGGATCATCATTTCAACTTAGAGAAAAATACATTCTTATTGTTCAAAGTAGAGTCCAACAGTGTTATAAAAACTTCCAAGAATTCTATTAAGATATCTTTAAACATTTTAAAGATACAACGGTTTAAAGTTTAGTCTAACAATTGGACAATTTTGCTGTTACACGATTTGGACAATTTCGCTGTTACACCCGGTATATATGTGCATGTTTGTGTGTGTGTCTGTGTGTGTCTGTGTGTGTCTGTATGTGCGCGCGCACTCGCACGCGCGTGTGAGTACGTGTGTGTTGATTGATATGTATTGCTTACGGTGGTGGGTGTGGTGAAAGGTTCTCATCTCGACACACTTCCCCACATGCGTATTCTGATGTGTAGCCATTGAAATACTGTTTTTTTTGTGAATGACGGGGCGATTTCTTTTCAACAATCTATCTAAATCAGGATGGCGACATATCAAGCGGTCGTGAAATACCCATAATTATTCTATGATTAGCTGTGAATGACTGTTAGTCATCAGCTTTATTCTGTTGCGTGAACATAATAGCTGGCTTATATATGTTCTCATATGGTCTTTATTGACAAAGGGACACACTGTGATCGCGGACTACTGTTTATATTTGCGTCACTTCCGGTGTCTAACCTGATAAAGACCAAATGTTCCGGAGAATAAGATATTTTCCGGCTGTTGGCGGCAATTAATGACCGGGGGGCAACGAATGAATTTCGCTTTGTTTAGAAATCAGCGCCGTCCTATTGACATACCGAAGTATTTGCATTTGGTTGAGCTGTCAAAATAGACAAGTCAGCACGACGGGGAAAAATGTTAGACAAGAACATGATAGGAAAACATGTCAGTATTGAGGAAATAACATGAATCATTCTAGTTTCCTCTTTGCTCATCACCAAATATTTCTATTAATGCATCTATCTATCTATCTATCTATCTATCTATCTATCTATCTATCTATCTATCTAAATATGTTTGTCACTATATCTGTCTTTGAAATTATTCTATATCTATCTATCTATCTATCTATCTATCTATCTATCTATGTTTATCACTATGTCTATCTTTGAAATTATTCTATATCTATCTATCTATCTATCTATCTATCTATCTATCTATCTATCTATCTATCACGATCTCTTCATATCTATCTATCTATCTATCTATCTATCTATCAAGATCTCTTCATATATATCTATCTATCTATCTATCTATCTATCTATCACGAACTCTTCATATCTATCTATCTATCTATCTATCAAGATCTCTTCATATCTATCTATCTATCTATCTATCTATCTATCTATCTATCTATCACGAACTCTTCATATCTATCTATCTATCTATCTATCTATCTATCTATCTATCTATCTATCTATCAAGATCTCTTCATATCTATCTATCTATCTATCTATCTATCTATCTATCTATCTATCTATCTATCTATCTATCTATCTATCACGAACTCTTCATATCTATCTATCTATCTATCTATCTATGTCTGTCACTATGTCTCTTTCTGAAATTTGTATTTACTCAACCCCCTTACGAGGTCAGTTGTGACACAAGGTCGGCTTAATATGGGGAGTCCGAGCGCGTACACCCGGGCTAGGAACAAAAATTACGGAAGCCCCTGCCGAATATCTTTCAGTATAATTTTCCTCAGTTGCTTCTCCTATCTATCTATCTATCTTCTTACTTTCAAGGAATTTTATCAATAGGAGTAGATAGGCTCACCTATTGTCCTGCCGCACTCCTTTCATGATTATCCAACAGGAGTAGAGGATTATCCCTTGTTCCGTGTTTAGGATATAGCTTACCGTTTCTTTCTTCCAAGGTCATAATGATTTAACTGTCTAAACCTTTTGGTGATCTGATCGATCAATGCCTGAGACTTTTCATTATGAGGGTACCGGGTTGGTATTTACCTGATTGCTGCATCCGACGGCTAGTAAGGAGCTCGGACTCTTTGTTAGCGCTTACAGAGGATTCTCTAATCAACTGTCGCATAATATCGGGGTATTTATAATGCCAGGTTGCACATAAGTACATGTCACCGCAAGTATTTCCGGTGGGCAACCCTGATGCCACATTATGCGTTGGTCTCAGCCACGTTCTAGTTAGTTTGTGTTGCCATTGACGACAATATTAGTTGACTCATAAGTCATAGCGGTGAAACACATAACTACAAACCAAAGAGCCTAAAAGAAGAGACGATAAATTAATTCTAGACGAAGTTCCCTACCATTCAATCACGCTTCTGATTCTCTCGGTTGACTCACAAGACATAGCGGTGAAATACATAACTGTTTTCCAAAGACCCTAAAAGAATAGATGATAAATTAATTCTAGAGGCAGTTTCCTACAATTCCATCTCGGTTCTACTTTGGTTGGTTGATTCTTAAGTCATAGTGGTGAAAAACATAATTATATTACAAATAGCCTAAAATAAGAGATGATAAATTAATTCTAGAGGCAGTTTCCTACCACTTAATTTCGGTTCTACTTTGGTTGATTGACTCATAAGTCATAGCGGTGAAACAGCTAGATTGCAAAAAGCCTAAAAGAAGAGATGACAAATTAATTCTAGACGCAGATCCCTACCCTTCAATTTCGGTTCTACTTTGGTTGATTGACTCATAAGTCATAGCGGTGAAACAGCTAGATTGCAAAAAGCCTAAAAGAAGAGATGACAAATTAATTCTAGACGCAGATCCCTACCCTTCAATTTCGGTTCTACTTTGCTTGATTGACTCATAAGTCATAGCGGTGAAACAGCTAGATTGCAAAAAGCCTAAAAGAAGAGATGACAAATTAATTCTAGACGCAGATCCCTACCCTTCAATTTCGGTTCTACTTTGGTTGATTGACTCATAAGTCATAGCGGTGAAACAGCTAGATTGAAAAAAGCCTAAAAGAAGAGATGACAAATTAATTCTGGACGCAGATCCCCACCCTTCAATCTCAATTCTGCTTCTGTGGGTTGACTCATGAGTCATAGCGGTGAAATACATATCTGCATTCCAAACAGCTGTAAAAACGAGATGATAGATTAATTCTAGACGCAGTTCTCTACCATTCAATCTCGCTTCTGCTTCTGTTGGTTGATTCATAAGTCATAGCCGTGAATCACAATACTAGATTCCAGAGAGCCTAAAAGAAGAGATGATCAAATAATTCTAGATGCTGTTCCTTACCATTCAATCTCAGTTCTGCATCTGTTGGTTGATTCATAAGTCGTAGAGGTGAAACACATCAATACATCCCAAACAGCTTAAAAGAAGAGATGATAAATTAATTATTCTAGACGTAGTTTTCTACCATTCAATCTCCGTTCTGCTTCTGTTGGTTGACTCATAAATGATAGCTGGGAAATGAATAACTACATTCCAAAGAGACTAAAAAGAAGAAATGATGAATTAATTCTAGACGCAGTTCCCTACCATTCAATCTCCGTTCTGCTTCTGTTGATTGACTTATAATCATATCGGTGAAATACGTAATCGCACTGCAAGCAACCTAAAAGAAGAGATGATAAATTAATTCCAGAGGCAGTTTCCTATCATTCAACCTTGCTTCTGGCTTGTTTGGTTAACTCATAATCGATAGTAGTAAAATATGTAATTATCAAAGGTATGTAATGCTAAGTAAAGAGATTTATTTTTCAGTACAGTCTCTTTTGCGAGCCACACGCTTCTTCCATTTGTCTTTGATTGCTTGGATCCCATTGGTGAAGATGCTTTCATCGCGTTGGTAAAAAAATTCATCAACAATATGTATGACATCATCATCACTGCGATACTGGCTTTCAGCCAAGTTATGTTTCGTGTTGCGATGCAGATAATAATCACAGGGAAACAAATCAAGGGATTGGGGCGGGAATCAACCAGTTTAACGTAACCACGCCCAGCGGCTATGAGAACCAAGGAATTTGTGTTGGAGCATTGTCATGGTGAAACAAAACTCCTTTCGTCAGTTTTCCTGGGCGTTTGATTTTGGAAAGGGTTTCGTAACTGCCCCAGCAATTTGGCATAGGACTTTCCATTGATGATGTGGCCCTCTTGAACATAGTCATTAATCACAATGTGTTTGGCGCCCGAAAAAAACCCGAGATGAAACGAACTTGGGCTTCTTTAGGGTGGATGAAGAGAGGTTTTTGCCACTGCATGCAACGACTCTTTGTCTCTGGCTAAAAGTGAAGTACCTAACAATCATCCTGGGTTCAAACGAAAACGTTTAAAAGAACCCGCTGAATCTGCCTCAAACAATGTCAGATTTTTCCATGATGTAGTCATCCTGGTGCGTTTTCGATCAGATTTCAGAAGACGTGGCACCCAACGAGCAGAAACTTTCATCATGCCAAGTGTATTGTGCAGAATATTATCAACTCTCTCGCGGTATATGCTAATAGTATTGGTTATTTAATTTATAATGAATCACATGTCATCTATCACCATATATTGAACAAGATCAATTTTTCACTTGTTGGCGGTTGTTGGAAGAAGTCTAGACCTTAGATCATCGTCAAGAATCTCAAAACCTTCTCTTAAATTAAACTATCCACTATTGCACTGGTGATAAATCTGGAGCGATATCCCCTAATTTAGCAACCACGTACTTGGGGGTTAAACCCTTTTTTATGCTGGTGCTTGATAAGACCACAATACCAAATTTTGTCCGTTTTCAAAAGAAGTCGCTACTTTAAGTCTTCTTTAAACAGCCAGATGCCAGTTTCCTGGAAAAAACAATGCAGTTATTAATATGAAGAGTTGAAATTATTGCCTGCAAGATTTCACAGCTCTAGCATCACTCCTTCATAGTCAGCCTATGAAGTTTTCAGCCTACCTTCCTACTTTCCAAACGAAGCAATATGTTTATTTCGTCTCAAAAAATGTTGGAAACAAAAGAAATAGGAATTTTACATTTTTTTTCTGTTTTGCAATATGACTTTGAAATTTTTTTTTAGCGGTTTAATAGATTGTTTTATTTTTTTCTTCCTCTTTTTAGTCCATTCTGCGACACGCGAGGAAAGATGCCCGCAAAGCTGTGATCCTTATCACAGATGGTTTCTCCAACGCTGGAGATCCACGTCCGTTAGCGGCACACATGCGGGGAAACGGAGTGAAGATCTTCACTTTTGGAATACGACATGGAAATGTTCGAGAACTGAGAGACATGGCTTCACATCCCAAAAATGAGACATGTTATATTTTAGAAAGCTTCGAGGAATTTGAAGCACTCGCCAGACGAGCACTACACGAAGGTGAGAAAAAAAAAATCCATTATTCCATTTTTTTTTAAAAGAAATGAATCTTTACTTTTTACTAACAATTCTTCTTCTTTATGTGCCAAGCCCACTCGTGGCGTAGGCGATCATGGCTCTCCACAAATTCCTGTCCTTTGTTGTTTTATTTAGCAATATATCAACAGCCCTATGGGTTATTTAATCCCGAAATCTAAATATTTTGTACGCAATTTTATGGCTTCAACTAAATATTTTGTACATAATTTTATATTTTCAAGGCAAACGTATATTTAGATATCCAAAGACCCCCAAAACTGAATTAAATCATTTTGGTATTTTTGAGTTTTAGGAATTGTGAAAATGAAAGAGAAAGAGGGAAAGATACGTCATATAGGGATAAAGTGTCGCTGCCGACACTGGAGTTTGAACACAGATCACCAGGGATCAAACACGGGCGATCCCATTTTGAATAAGTAGATCACGTGATAGTAAAGGAAATGTATACATGGGAATTAGCGTGGCATCTAAGCGATCACTATATAGATTACTATTTTGATCATTATACAGATTACTGTTCGGATCACTATTTGGTGGTTACTTTTCGAGTGAGTATTATCGAGCAAGTACTATTAGTGCGAGTGCTATTCGAAGGCGTCTGACACCAGTATTGTTCAACAGCGTTACTATAGTTGTATCTGCGATTACAAAGTCTCTACTTCAACGAGCATTACGAAGATGACAACGAGTATTCGTTGACATTACATAAGTGGCAACGAGTGTTCGTTGACATCACAAAAATAGGACAGATAGTAAAGATTTTACACAGATTCCAGTCGTTCGTTCTTTATTAAAAATATTCTTCTTCATCTTCAAAAAAAAATGCGTATTTAAAAACGACTTAAAAGGCACTCCACTGTTAGAAGAATGGCCACTAAAAATTTGGTTTGGTTTGGCTGGTTTTGTTTAGCGGCATGTCAACATCTCTATCGGTTATTTAATGTCGAAAGGTAAATATTTTGTACGCAATTTTATGGCTTCAACTAGATATTTTCTACTTTCAGGGCAAACATATATTTAGATATATAGTTTATATTGCTGATAATTTTGCTATAAAATGTATTTTTATACTTTAGTGCTGTATTAATTGGCATTTTCCTATAAAAAAACGTTTTATTACTGGTCATCTTTTTTATGAATATACTCATGATATTTTTACCATAAATTATTTTTGTGCTTCAAACAAAAATCCAAACACTATTTTCCCGTAGCTGGGACCCCAACTAGTGTTACCACTTCATGTCAGGGTGAATCTGGGAACAACAGCAATAAAAGGTGGTTCCACGCTACTCAAAAACTCCAACCTCTCGATCAGAGGCCTTGCTGTCGGATGTAGCTTATCGTCATACACAGGACTACCTGTCCTTTGTAGCTCTTAATAATTTTGTCTGGAGAGGGGCGGGTTGCTTCAGGGCCACTTGCTTCCAAAACTCTATTCATGAATGAATTCTTCTTCGGTTTATCAACGTAAATAGGCGGAAGAAAATGGTGAGATAGTTAGTTGCAAAGCCTGTTTCTGTTTCTTAATACTCTGCTTAGATTTTAGAAAGCATCTTTGCTATCTCAATACGCCTTCGGATGTCGTTCTTTCTGTCCTCTGTTAAAACATTTCCCAGATATTTAAATTGTACCTGTTTGATTTTGGTATCTGTTGAAACTTGACTAATGCATGGAATAATAATGCACACAAAATGTACTTAGAACAAAATGTATTGAAACAAGAAAGTGTACACAATATTTACATATAGTCTTTTGTATATTCCTGGTAAGACCGTTCCTGGAGAATGTGTTGACTGGGTCGCAGTCGGGCAGAGTCTCTGGTTGAATCTCTTGATTCCTCTCTCTCTTCCCGGCACCAACCATATTTATATGGTCGGTACTCCACTATGCAAATTAGGTGGATCCTACCACAACAGTATCCCATATTGTGATCACCGTTTTGCTAATAATCATGCATTCTGTCTTCCTGCAGTTGATGTTTAATCCTTTATCCTTGAGGAGTTTTTGTAGTTTTCTTTCCGAGTCTGTTATCAACACTGTCATCTTCCTATTTTATTAAGATGGTAGATGAATCCTAGCAGAGCTTCTAGTTCACACCCATATCATGGGAATTATGACAATGGAATTTCTTTAATCACTTCACCCCAAGCATGATAATAAAGTCACTAAGATGCATCGGGTCACTGAGTGTGAAAGAATATCTCGGAATTTTTCTGTCCTTTGCAGCTCTTAACAAATTTTGTCTTTCTGTTATTTCTCCTAAACTCTGTTCTGCCATCGATTTACTCAAGCTCACTAAGTATGCGTTGTTTTTCTATGTCCCTCTTGCCCTCTATCTGCCCTGTGAGTATCAGATTTTCCAAGCATTCTTTCCTCGTTATATGCCTGAGAAATTTCAACTTTCTCTTCCTGATATTAAGTATACGTTTCCTTTTTGTTTCCATTCTCTGTAAAACTTCGTCGTTGCTCACATGTTCGGTCCATGGTATCCTCAGCATCCTTCTGTAGAACCAGATTTTTGTTGCTTCAAGTATCTTCTTCATTTTTGAGGAGCTCGTCTCGCATTCACTGCCCTATAGGTGGACAGGTGTCACATAATTTAATACTCTTTTTTTTTGTTTCTAACGAAGTTTTTTCTGTTTCTTAATACTCTGCTTAGCTTTTGGAAGGCATCTTTGCTATCCCAATACGCCTTCGGATTTCTGTGTCGCTCTTTCCGTCCTCTGTTAAAACACTTCCCAGATATTTAAATTGTACGTGTATGATTTTGGTTTCCCCTATTTGTAATTTACATATTGTGATCACCGTTTTGCTAATAATCATGCATTCTATCTTCCTGCAGTTGATGTTTAATCCTTTCTTCTTGAGGAGTTTTTGTAGTTTTCTTTCCGAGTCTGTTATCAACACTGTCATCTTATTTTATGTTATTAAGATGGTAGGTGAATCCTGGCAGGACTTCTAGTTCTTTCAGAATCGTCTCGCTGTAAAAACCACTTAGTCTAGTCCATCACTCAGAAAGATGTCATGTTCTTGGAGGATGGAATAGTGAAGCTGCCTGAAAGATGGTAAAAAGGTATTGGCGCAGCATAGCATATAAGCAGCTGAATAAATATATGTACCAATATCTATACATTGTCTTTGAAATTCGTTTAATAAACGCTACAAAATTTTGTTCTGACCCAATAATTTCCACGCCTTGGTAAGGACATATTTTCACAGGTTGATAATATTTATACCTACCACTGCGTGAAGAAAAAGACAGTTTTCAGACCACACCAATTCTTTTCAGAAATAGCACTTTAGGCGACCAGGCATCGTAACAAAATATCTTGAATAACTGGTACCCTGAGCAGTGCGTTTCATTGACTTCAAAAAGACGTTTAACAGTATCTATAAACCTTCCCTGGGAAGATTATAGTCTAATCAACACATACCTAAATTCTCTTTGGTTTCCCTACATGCCTATGATTATAGTCAAAATTAAAGGTTTCCGATTTTGAACGTCGTCTGCCAATGCTGCGTTTGGTTTCATCATAAAGTTATGCTAACTGGATTCAGGTTTTGAACGTCGTCTCTTTGCCTTCAGGTTTTGAACGTCGTCTGCCACATTCATGAACATGTGTTTGCTTTCCGAAGCAACTGGATTCAGGTTTTGAACGTCGTCTGCCAATGCTGCGTTTGGTTTCCGATACATTGCTGTTATTAACTGGATTCAGGTTTTGAACGTCGTCTGCCAATGCTGCGTTTGGTTTCCGATACATTGCTGTTATTAACTGGATTCAGGTTTTGAACGTCGTCTGCCAATGCTGCGTTTGGTTTCCGATACATTGCTGTTATTAACTGGATTCAGGTTTTGAACGTCGTCTGCCAATGCTGCGTTTGGTTTCCGATACATTGCTGTTATTAACTGGATTCAGGTTTTGAACGTCGTCTGCCAATGCTGCGTTTGGTTTCCGATACATTGCTGTTTGGTTTCCGATTAACTGGATTCAGGTTTTAACTGGATTCAGGTTTTGAACGTCGTCTGCCAATGCTGCGTTTGGTTTCCGATACATTGCTGTTATTAACTGGATTCTTGTAGAAGCAATTGGAAATCGGCATCAGTTGGCACGATTCAGGAAAAGTGACGGATTTTGATTCTGCTGTATAGGTTGATTCAGTCCCTTTCTATTTTTGTAGATCCGCTGAACCCATTTTCTATCTGTATACAGGCCATTTGATGCTAGTATAAGTTCTTGATTACTCTAATATCCTTCTCAAATATATCAAAGTTGATGAGCAGTTCCAATGAGCAGTTTTATTGAATGCCTTTGGGTAATCCATAAAACACAGATACCTCTCCTTCTGTAACTGTATTGCTCTTCCTGATAACATTATGAGAATAAATATAGCGTTCCTTGTTCCAGTGTCTTTGACGAACCTGCAATCTTCTTGTTTTATTTCCGGCCTGATACCGCTACGCCCTCTATTCATCAGAATTTCGATGATAAGCTTTGTTATATGGCTCATTAGGTTGATTGTCCGATGCAGGTGGCAATGATTTGCACCTGACTTCTTAGGCAGAACTTGAAGTGACGTTGTGGTCTGTGGAGCCGAATGAAACTCGCTGTATTCATCTGATCTTGCACCTTCGCGCGTTACTTCAATTCTCTGGAACTTGCAAAAAAAGAAAGAAAAAGACAAAAAAAAAAAATGGATGACATTGGAGACTGTGCGGGAGAAATAGAGTAGCAAGCAACAGATAGAAAACAAAATGCTTCTGCAATTCATTAATCTCTCAATGACGTTGTTATTCGCGCACGCGGTCACGAATCCCGTGGCCCACATGTACTGCAGCCGCAGTAGAAGTAATATTTCTTGGGCAAGATAGCCTGACGGAGCCCACTCCTCTCCAGGCCGTTTTTGAATTCAGAGTTACCTTCTCCTAGATCAATTGCCACCCATGCTTATAGAACCCAGTC